TTTTACATTGTTTTCATTATTATTAGATATGGTTGTAATATTCCAGTTTCCACTTCATCCCATTGTTAATTTGTACCCCCATCCCCTTAAAGTGATGTAATAGCTTAGGATTTAGTTTCCACATTTTTACTTGCTTTCATATATTGCTAGTAATCAGGATGTATGGCGAGATAAAATCAACAAGTAGATAACCTTTCAAATACAAGACAAAATGCATGCAAACTAACACACTTGCACATTAGCATCTCTAGGGTAATCTCATTTTGTTGCCTTTCGGAAAATAGTCATGTCCCTCGAATATGGGACGTTTTAGCAAAGACCCTTCGATAAAAAAGATCGTAGTCCCTCGATGACCCTAGATGTTGCCTCCAGTAAATTGATCTAGTCCCTAAAACGAAATTGCTAAAACGTCACATAGGTTGCTTTCTATGACTATACAAACGTCCCACACCCGTCCCTTCACATCCAACGATGGGGATTTTTACCAAAACAATGGCAAGATAGCCACATCTAAAGGAGAAGGAAAAGAACGTTTAAGACCTCTCGAGTAGGTAGATTCACTCCTAGTTACTCGCTTGCTCACAACAAAAAAACATTTTACACACTAACACTTCCATTCCAAAAACATTTTTAAAAAAGATAAAACATTTTGTATACGTTCTTATAGAGACAAGAACCATTGTAAAATATCTTTCCGAAAACCACTTTCCAAAATACAATCCACAAACACATCTTTGGACTATCTTTCGAAACAAAACTTTGTACGCGTTCTTATAGAAACGAGAACCATTACAAAGATATTTTTCAAAACACTTTCAAAGCCCACACCACAAGCACATTGTCAAAACAAAAGCAAGTGATCTAGCGAGTAACTAAGAACCCATGGAAAACCATGGATGAAAAGGGTGCTAATACCTTCCCTTTTCATAATCTACCCCCGAACTCAAGAAAACATCTCTAAAGGTCTTTCCTGTGCTTTTTCACCTTTCCTTTTGGATAAAAGAAAAGTCGGTGGCGACTCTTGCTAAACCACAACATTTGCGAATACAAACCCAAAACACCCAATTCAGTTGTCCCACCGTATCACAATAGTCAAAGGACATTTCAAAGAAACACAACTAGTAGTAACAAAACCACTAGCAGGAGTATCTATCACCATAGTGATGTTCATATTAGATGATTTAACTCCTAACATGTTAGCACATTCACACGAAATAAATGAATGAGTAACACTAGTATCAATAATAGCAACCAATTAAACATCACTAATAAAATAAGTACCTCGAATCAAGTTGTTCCCCTTGGAATCCCCGATCCACTCAAAGAGAATACTCTATCGTTGGTCTGGGAAGCAACATCCTTCCTCGTCTCCTAACACTGGGTATTGATATGACCCTGCTCTCCACAATTGAAACAAGTTAGATCATAGTTCTTGCATTCAGGAGCACGATGACTCATCTTACCATATTTGTAGCACCTTACACCTTATTCTCACACTCATTAGAATGGTGACCTTGTTTACCACACCTATAACACTTGACATGAGCGGGAGCTCCTCCTTCACTTGTCTTCTTCCCATCATAAGCCTTATGTTTCCCTTTATCATCTCAGGCATCATATGTTTTCTTACGGTCTTGATACTGCTTTCCTTTTTTCTCGTTCAAACTCTTGTAGTGAGCTGAATGAGCTTTGATGTCTTCTTTATAAATCCTACAGTTGTTCACCAACTCTGAAAATACACAGATCTACTGATATCCAATTGCCTATTTGATTTCCGGACGTAAACCATTCTCAAACTTGATACACCTTGAGAACTCAATATTCACTTCACTGTAATATGGATAATACTTTGTCAGTTCCACAAACCTTAAAGCATACTCAGTCACAGTCAAGTTCCCTTGTCTTAACTCCAGAAACTCAATCTCTTTCTTCCCGCACACATGCTCGGGAAAGTACTTCCTCGGAAACTCCCTGCTTAACACAACCCAAGTAATAACTTCACCCATCACTGCCAGTCTCTGACGGGTGCCATCTTCCTCTGCCAGTTGATGTGTACCAAACCACACCTTATGCACCTCTGAGAAGTCAATGACTCAAAAGATCATGTTAATCTCCTTGAGCCAAGTTTGTGCTCCATCAGGATCGTATCTACCTTTGAAAACAGGAAAATGATTCCTCTAAAATGTCTCAAAGCACGGGATCCATCAATCCCTCCAGCATTAGGCTGATGTTGCACAGCCTGCAAAGAAGCAACAATCACATAATCACTTCTCCCAGTCATTCCACACACAGAAAACTAGTGTCAGAAACACTCATCGACAGTATAATCACACTAATCGACCGACATGACTTACACATCATAAGAAAACCTGGTTGGACAAACCAACCTGTTCTAATACCACTAATGTAACACTCTTCAAAACCCAAAAGAATATTTGCAAGATAACTCAATAATTAAATCAGAGTAATGCACCAAAAAGTGTGTCACATTGCTCTAAATAAACTTCATAGTAAAACACATCCTGCTCCATAACATGGGTTTTCAAAAATCAATTACGTTAAGTACTCCATGATTAACAACCATAGTTTTTCAACTTACTCACAGCGAAAATTCATAATTCACAACATCTTTATTAAGATACTTCTAAATAACCTTATCAAGTCAAAACATCTCAATTGCCACAAGCGTAGTTCATACCTCAAATTAAACAAGATAACATGATTATTCAAAACAAATGATCCCATTCTCGATGTTACATATCAGATCAAGACTCCTTTTATTCTAGAGGAAATAAAGAACACACTATGCGACTATCCACTAAGCCTCAGTGAACTATTCTTGATTACATGCAAGTTACCCATGTATAGAGGTGACATTTCCAAGTAGCAAGGGTGAGTAAATCATCATCATCATTATAAAAGACATAAGGAGTAAGTATAGTAGTTATGAAACAACACTAAAGAAATACACCATCAAAACCTCATGTCATACTCACATCTTCAAGCACCATAATACACATCAGACATATGCTAATACCATCACTTAGAAATTATCACAAACACACACATAAGTCAATAAAATCAACATGCAATGCCACATACAATGCACTTCAGCTTCTTTAGAATCATGCATGTGGTACCAAAACTTTACTGATGACACTGTCATCATTTTCTCTAAAGATCCTCACCAATAGGACCGATTCCTGCTTGGAACCAGAGCACATCACAAATTTCACTCAATCCACACTATGAGATTGAGGTTGCCACTAGACTATTTGTCCTATAAAACTCACTTGAACAACATCCTGCAAACATCACTGGCCTACGCCCTAACTCATGCCATGAATGCATGATGTGTAACATCTTTAATAACCAAATGACCACTGCTAGTCAAAACACAACATCATTCATATAATCATCATAAATATCAACACATGCTTCATTACACGAAACAACATCATCAAAACATCAATAATTCATCATATACACATACAACATACCAAAACAATCAATGAATCATTTTTATTCATCAAATCATAGGTATTGGAAAAAATATCATATGACTCTTTCTATTCCACTAAAGTATAGTTCATCGTGTTAGCTTCTTAACACTTCAAACGACGTGTCAATCGAAGTCTTGAAACTCAAGCTATGACACTTTTAAAATACTACTATTGTCCATCGCCTGATGCTAGTTCGGAGAAGCAAAATGCTTGCCTAAGGCTCTCCTGCCGATGAAGGAGCGATAATAACCTTTTTCCTTTATGGTCTCTACCGCCCCGCGTTGCATCTCGCTCGCCTGACGCTCTCCTATCGCCACTGTGTCGCCTGAAGACGCTCTAGCGACATGCCACCCTCCATACAAAAATCCAGGGGATATGTTTTTCACCCCATCCCATTGCTTCTAACTCTCCTGACGCTGCTGGAGCGAGGCTCTATCGACCGACAATACACATTCACCGCTTGGCACTGCAGTACAAACATGACTTCCATGTTATGATTTCTGTACTGCACAGTCCCAATTTCTGCATGATTTCTCCATAATACAGGTCTCAAGTCATCATAGATTCACTTAGTATCATCACATAACAACACATATTATCACATATCATATGCATCAATTACTCACAAGAAAACATCATAATTTCAGCAATTTTCATCAAAGCGTCATATTAACATCATCATCCCAAAACCCCAACACAACCTACAATTATCTAAACCTTAGATCAATTATAATAACAACGATAAACCCACTTACCTTAGATTTCTCCTAGCAAATGATCTCTCTTTGCGTTCTATCAAATTCCTCTGAGTCACTTCATGCCCTAGCTCTCTTCACAGTGTTATTCTCTTTTCACGATTGCACAAAATGAGACCCTCTTCCCTCTATTCCTTATTTAACCTTCAGACCCTTTCTATGGTCTTCCCATCTTACCCTCACTTATCCATTTACAATTTACCACTTTGTCCCTAACATCTCCACATCATATTTTATCTCTATTTAACTAATTAAAATAATTCCAATTAATTATTCTAATTATCTAAATTATTCTAAAACACTCTATACATTCTTAATTCCTACCACCCCATCATACACCACACAAAACGTCATATCAAGCATCATGATCTTCTATACATCACAAAAACATCACAATTAAGTCACAATCACCAAACATAAATTAATCGAGTAATTAAATAAATAATCTAATTATTTTTGGGGTGTTACAATAAACCTCCTTCATAAAAAATTCTCCATTTCCATTACCCGCAAAATAAAAAACGCTAGCTTCTTGCCCCATACAAGGAGGCAAGCACAATCTCATTTTGTCCAACCACACTTGCGACAACCAGTCTTGGAGGATACTCCATCTCCACTCCCTTTTCTCATCAACCAAATCACACAATTTGGATCCAATCAGATCAATAAGAATAATGTTCTCAATATCAAAAACTTTAAACTTTTTCTCCAACTAATTATCCTTCTAGCCATTGATGCTTTTTCAGTCCCCAACATACCAACAACTATAATCTCGAAGGTTTGGAATACTCTTGGCTATGTCCTTCCAAAGACTAGAGTCAGCTCTTCTATACATGATAATCTCCTCATTATTCTTAGCTACATATTTATCTTGCAAAATGTTGCACCATAGATCCTGAGACTTGATTATGATTTTCCTCCCAAACTTCATAATACAAACTGTGTTCAAAACCTCCAAGTTCCTAAGACCAATACCACCAAGAGCTTTAGGTCTTGTGAGAGATTCCCGTGCAACTGAATGAAGCTTCCTATGATTATCACTCTCTCCTCAAATAAACTTTCAATGTAGGCCAAAAATATCATCAATACATTATTTTAGAAGTCTATTTATCATCATCGGATACAAAGGGGATAACTTCAATAATACTTTTTTGCTAAGGTTATTCTCCCCACGAAGGACAGGTTATTCCTCTTCCAATCATTTCTCTTTAAAGCAATATGATAAACTATGTACTGAAAGTCATTCCTTCTAAGATTTTTTCCACTAAAAGGAACTCTAAGATATTTCCTAAAATTTCTAGTGGCCCTATAACTAGAAAGCTACGTCAATTTATTCTGCATACTTCTAGAAACATTCTTGGAATAAAGCACACTCGTTTTCTCTTGACTCACTTCCTGACATGACATACTACATAAGAGATTAAGAGTCTTCATAATATATTGTTGTACCCCAAAATTTTCCCTATCTTTTCTTAAGATATTTCTCACCAAAAGATCTCAAATGCTCAAGGACTCTCAAGAGTTTGATAAGATAAGCCCACTTCCTAAGCATTGGCTCCAAATTAGGGTTTTGGTGTTCTCAAGGATAATTGTACTTTTAATGCCTCAAGTTACTCTCATGGTTCATTATAGGTCTCCAAGATTTCTTATACCAAGTTTCAAGTCTTGCATCATAAATTTGCTCAGTCAATTGCTTAGATGACTGAAAATCAGCAGTATTAGGTAAAAAGTCAACTGTGGTCAAAATACAGTCAAAATTCATGATTTTTGGCCAACATCAACATTTTAAAGTCATATTCATAAATTGGTCAAGGTTGGATCACAATTCTTCAAGAAAAGCACTCAAATCATTAAAGGGGTAAAATTGTCAAAATTAAGGTTTTGACTGAGAATGACTGATCATTGACTTTTGACCTAATACATGACCTAATGGTTTGAAGCATAATCTTAAGGACCCAAAAACATCATCTTTACCTAATTTCATGACTCAATTTATTTCTCAAGATCAAACAGTTGATACTTGAAATTTGGTCAACTGATGGAAAAGTCAACTGATACATCAAAAGTCAAACTTTGACTTTTTGGTCAATATTAAGTTTCAAAGATCAATATTCATCAATATATTAAAAAATATGAAGCTTGATCATCAATAATCAATAAATTTTAAAAAGTCATCAAAAACTCAAACTTTTCAATACTTAGAAAATTATCAAAAATTATCAAGCGTTTTAAACTTGATAATTTCACTACTTCATGACATTTTTTCACCAAGATGCAAGATGATTCAAGGAAAACTTTCAACATGAAAGTTTTATATCTTGATGAATTCTACAACTTTGTATTAAAGGGTTGATGTCCAAAAAATGCTTAGGTTAGAAGATATAATCTCATAAAGTCATGACATTTTTCATAAAAACACTTAGTGAAAATTTTGGCAAGTTAGGCAGATTTTTTGACCTAACTTCTTGACCAATTTTCACCTAGTTCTAAGTTGATTTAGCCAAAATGGTAAACATGAAGGATTTAGACAATGTTTTAAGCTTTCCAAAATATCAAAGAACTTGAATAGATCATTTTTGATCTAGGAGATTCGAAGAGAAGAAGATGGCATAACAAACATGGATTATAGGTCATTTTTCATGAAGAACACATGATCCAATCTCTTGCCATGCTGCATAATATTGCTTTGTAGGCCTCTTAACTTGCAAATCTCACCATAATTAAATGTTTACAGAAAATTTTGAGCTATGGTCCACTTGACTCCAGCATTGTCCAATGCATCTTACCATTTAAGGGAGAAAGATACCATTTCCATTCTTGAAAAGCAAGCTTTTTGCAAAAGTCCACTTCTTGAGCATCTAACTTGTTTCTTCTGCACACACTAAATCTACAAAGTCAGAAGCAACACGTTTAAAGTGTTTAACCACTCTATAATCAAAGGTACAAGGCATTAAAACTTGATTTTTCAAGAAAATCACATGTTGAGCTTAACATGTGATTTTGAATTCTGATCAACTTAAGCTTCTCCAACTTTTACCTATAAATAGAGACACTATTTTACAACCAAGACCACGAAAAAACAAGCCCTCAAACCCCCTCAATCTCTCCCAAGTCAGAATTGGCCAAAAATAACCATTTTTAAGCTTTTGAAACCTTAACTTCGAAAATCATAACTCTTGTAACTAATGTCCAAAAAAATCATCCAAACACTTCATATATATCATATAGAAGCTATCCATACCCTTGTTTCCTCAATGTAATATCATTTTAATCATCCACCATTTTCAAAATCCACTATTGCAACTTGACTTGAGTAGACCAATCCAGATACTTTGAAGGCAAAGTAAGAGTTACAACATACTTACTAAGGTCCCAGGAAGCTAAAGCAATCATCATATTGCTTCTGGAAGTCGTGTAGAGGATATTGAATTTTTGCATCAAGAGGTAAGTTTTTCCAACTTTGAAATCTTGATACAAGCATCATTTGCACTTACTTTTAAAAGATAAAATGTAAATATCATGTCGATGAAGTTAACCATATCTTTAAATTTTATTTTTATTGACTGTGGGATGAGAATTTTGAAACTGAATTTTTTGGACATTTAGGTTTTTGTTTGGTACCAGTAGGAAATTCGTGAAAACCTTTGATTTATAGCTCTAAAAAATTACATGGTTGAATTCCTTATTAAAAATCAAGCAAATTTGGTTTTTACAACTCTTAATTTGAGTCAGAATTTTTTGAAAGAAAAATAGAAATATATTGTTACAGTAATAATAATGATGGATGCAGGGAAGAAGAAGAGAAAAATAAAATTTTGAAAACGAGTTTATTTTACATTTATTGGTATTCATTTCATAAACAGATGAAACAACCAATCCAGTGACAAGCACACGCATTTTCAAGTATCTCTGACCATAAGGGCGTGGGTTCGAACCAATATGAACACTGTAACGCCCGTAATTTAATTAATTATTTAATTAAATTATTTTTTTGGATTATTTGTGAAGTTGTGTTATGATGATAGTTGATGTGTTGTTGTTATTGGATTTAATTATTCTATTAAGCTGTGGAATAATATTAGAATAATATTATTATTTCGTGTGGGCATATTCTAAGGACTAGAAGTAGTAGAAAGGGGGTGTAGGAGTTTTAATACCATTAAGGCATAATGATAATTATAGGATTATTATATTATTCATTTAGAATTAATATGAAAAAGAAGTAGCAGTAATAAGAGAAGGAAATAAGTGTTGGAAGAGAACGTGAAAGTTGCAGAAAAGAAGGAAAAGAGCCAGAACGGAATTCAACCGGAAAAGTTGTAGAGCAACCTTCAATCCAAGGTAAGGGTGGGGTTCTATCTCTATAATAGGGTTTATGATGAGTAGTATATGGGATTAGATGTGAAAAGTGGTTTTATTTATGATTGAAATATATATATATATATATATATATATATATATATATATATATATATATATATATATATATATATATATATATATATATATATATATATATATATATATATATATATATATATATATATATATATATATATATATATATATATATATATATATATATATATATATATATATATATATATATATATATATATATATATTGTTGTTTGATGAGGATCAATGATTTAGAGATGAATAATGATGCCCTAATGCAGTATAATTGATGTAAAAACATAAGATTATTATAATTTATGATTACCTATGATTAGAGGATGTTTGTAGGGCCTAAGGAAGGGAAATCACAGTGAAATCGCAGAAAATATTCGTGACAGAACAATATGAGTCGACCTCAAAGGCCATGCGTCGACACATGCAGGTTTTTGGACTCAGGATGAGTCGATACATAAGATTACTCGTCGATACAAGCAGTGTTGATGACTCAGTATGATTCGACACAAGAGGATTATGCATCGACTCATGCAGGATTTTAACCCAGTACGCGTCGACTCAAAGAAGTATGCATCGACTCATGCAGTCTGATTTTTGACATATTCTTCCAAAGGCTGTAACTTGAGTTTCCGGACTCCGTTTGAGGTGCCGTTTGAAGCGTTAGATAGCTAATGCGATGAGATTCATTCTTAAAGATTAAAAGGAAGAATAAGAAGAATAATCCTAGTACCCAAATTAGGATTAGAGTTAGCTTCCCGCGTTAATCGCTATGATGATTTTGTGAAGTATGATGAGGATAAGATAATTATAGATTATTGCTTGGTTCATAACAGTAATATTAATGATGATAATGATGTAGTATTACATAATAATAATATGTAGAGGTTTGATAATAAGATATAAGTCTTAGATGATTAATTAATTATAGGCATTATCGTGTTGTAGGCCTATGGCCAACGTTGAGGGATTGTTGATCTATCGCTGTATTGTTGTTATGGCTGAGTTGATGTGGAATTATGTTGATAAATTATGTTGATGAATTATGTTGATGAATGATGTTGATGAATTGTGTTGATGAATTATGTCGATGAATTATGTTGATGAATTATGTCGATGAATGATGTTGAGATGCCTCTAATAATTGGCAGCTATTAAGATGTAGGCTTCTGGCCAACGATGATGTTGTGTTGAGATGTTGTTAATTATGGTTGTTGTTATTACATTCGTGATTGTGTCGCATACATTGCATGTCAAGATGGAGCTGAAGCTCGTTAAGATGGTCTGTATTGGCGAATATTAAGATGACGGCTTATGCCTTGGTGATGCCTCTATTTATTGGCAATTATTTTGAGATGGGAGTTATGCTCTAATGTTACCACATGCATTTGCATAGTATTGAGTCGTATGATATGATTGCATAAAGAAGTTATGTATTAATGCGATAAATGTGTATATTGTTGGTATTCTGTTGTGATTATTGTTGTTTATAAGATGAGAAGTGGTGATATTATATGAGCTGATCTAACATATTATTTATCATACATTTTATTATATTGTTAGATATCTCACCCCTTCTGTTTGAATGTTACCCTTATGTTGGTAACGTGCAGGTAATCCAGAGTGAAGGTGGTCTACCTTCAGTAGTTCGAGTCGGTGTCATTGCTCTGATACGTAATACTCGGGGGGATAAATGCTTGTTGCTTTTAATTATTGATTATTTCAGTTGTTGTACTTTAGTTTAATTGTCACTAAGTATGTGTTATTTTAAAGTTGCTGTACTTGTTGGACAAAGATGTTATTATGATTCCGCTGCGTAGTTGTTCAAGTTGTTAAATTAAGAGATTAAATTATTCTGTTGTTGGTTCATCCAGAGTTTAAAGTGTTATGTATCCATGGTGAATGCAATGTGTTTTTAAGTTGAATTTGTGGCATCCTAATTCAGTTGTCTGAATTTTAGAACTCTGATTTACATTCATAATTGCCGGGTAGAATTG